TGTGTGTGTGTGTGTGTCTTCCCCCTTTTTTTCTCTTTGTCTCTGTCTCCCCGCTCTGTCTGTCTTCCTCTCTCCCAAGTTTTCCTATATCTCCTTCCCTCCTCCCCATCTTCCCCACAGGGTGTGGTGGGAGATGGAAGAAGGAGAGACATGAAGGAAAACAAAAGGTATCACTACCTTCTGATACCCTTAAAAATGATTTTGAATTCTTCCACAACAGGCTCCCTAGCAAAATTGCAGGTTGAACTGGGAATATTTCGAGTGTGAAGCTAAATCTTTGTCATTCCTATGTGTACCCTACCTCACTCGACCTGAGCACCCCACAATTCATTACACCTTTATTGGTTAAAAATAGCAATCAGGCTTCCAAGATGGGATTTCTTTGGTCAGCAAAGTAAGAACACAACAAATATATAAAGAACCAAAGAAATTTCAAAATAAACCCATCGAAAACAGAAAAGGGGTTGGTAGAATATTTTACATGGTAGAGTGAACAAAACAGGTCCCAGATTTTTCGCAGTCTTCTGTTTTAATATCCCCAGCAGACTGGAAGAAGTGTTAAGAGAAGAAGGAGAGACTAAGAAAAGGGATGGTCTAAATACTGATACCAGGGGACACATCCTGCCACGAATTTCTCTGCAATCATTCTTTCCAGAGACAGCACAAAGTTCAGTGGCAGACACTGTGCAGTAAGCTACTTGGCAGGCCCAGGCCTTGAGCCCCCATTATCTCCCCTGCTCTGCTAATCATTCACATGACTCAAAGGCCCTATTCCTCCTGAGAGTCCCAAACCAGGGTCAGAAAGCTGCCACTACCTCTGATAACATCTTCCCACCATAGGCCCTTAAAAAAAGCACTTACCCACGTACTCATCCATGTTAAATGTCTTCACGTACTTGAAGGAGAGGTCCCCATTCTTATAATACTCAATCAGCTTCTTGTAGCAATGAAGAGGAGTGGTTCCTAGAAGAAAGTGAAATCCGTGAGCATCCCTTTGAGAGGTCTAGGGGTTTGTTAGCATTACTCAGAAGCCAAAACAGTGACCTGAAGACACACCTTTTCATAGGACCAGGCCTATCTATCCCAGGTCAGATCAGAAAACCTACTCTCCTCTTTCCAACTAACTACCTCTTTATCTTTCCAAAAAGTCTGATCAGGGGGATTCTCACCCCCTTTGTCTTCACTACTAGGCAGTCTCTAATTGAAGTTGGAATTCAGCCAACCCGAGCCCACCCTGAACCCTTCTTTCTCTAACTCCTTGAGTTTATTTCATATGTATTCATTGTGTGACTGTGTATCACAATTTAACACATTCTTATATAGCACACCCCCACACACAAGCCTCTTTCCCCCTCTAGACCATGAGCCATCTGTAGGTAGGTAATGTCTTGTCACTCTTGTATTCTCCACAGCACAGGGCTGGATGGCCACATACCAGGCATAGGAAGGGATTGCTTTGCATAGTTTTTTTGGGCTCCAGGGAACCCCAGTGAGAATCAGACTGTCCCCACTGCCCTTGTTCCTTAAGAGTCACTGCCCAAACTCTACAGCCCTTGGTCATCAGCTCTAATGACTCAGGCTTCTGAGAGAGAAGTTAACACTCATCACTCCAGAAGACTGCCCAACACAGACACATAGTCTTTACATACTTCATGAAAAAAAGAATTGGGCCTTTGACCAGTCATGTCCTACAGAGCTGGTACCCACAGAAGACATCTGATGACCTCCATGTGATGATATCTTGAACAAGGCTATAGCTGTGTCCTTCCATGATTAGAACACCAAGCTACTGGGAAGCCAATGGGATCAAAGACTGGATGCCCCTGTGGACAGCTTCTGTCCCACAAATACAAGGGAAACCAGGTAAGAGAGTAGAAATGGCTCAATATAAAATCCATCCTCACTGTAAGAAAAATAATTCAGTGCACAAGCCTTGCTGTCTGATAAGTAATTTTACAGAATCCTCTTTCCATAAATAATTACAGTTCACATTTATATAGCACTTTAAGGTTTGCCAAGCACTTTGCCCACCTTGTCCTCACAACAACCCTTGAGATAGCTGCTATTATCTCCATTTTTCAGATGAGAAAACTGAGGCTCAGTGACTTATCCTGAGTCACTCAGCTAGTATATATCTAAAGTAGGATTAGAACCCAGGTCTTACTGACTATGAGTCTAGAACTCGATCTACTACACCAAGGCAAAAACAACATTAGTCTCTTGACTAGTCTGGGTCATGCTTGCTTTTCTATTTAGCAGGATCCCAGACAAAGCTGTAAACAACTGCTCCTTATTTGCACAGAAAACAGGGTAGGAGAGAATGGACTAAAAGTGGAGAAGTATTCTAGGTTAGAAGGGAGGAAGAATTAATTAAAAATTATGAGATGTTGCAGCTATAAACCCTCAGTCCTGCACCAGACCATTCTGAGTTCCAATAAATAAACTACTCTTTGTCCTGGTAATGGTAGTGTCTGCTCAAAGTGCCTCCATTTATCTCCTGGCTACTCCAACCTGGTCCCTGCTGATCCAGCACGTCTGTGGCCTACTGGGGGGACAGCTCCCCGCTTCCCTTATCCAATGAATCCAACTGAATTGCCACTTCAAGGACCTATCCTGTTTCCCTCTATTTCTTGAGAAAGCAGCTGTCAAAAGTAAAATGCTTAGTTTTTTGTATTTTGAAATAAAGAGCTTAGTGCTTATGTAAATTCCAAGTATCTTCTACCAAACTCCAGGACCCCAAAAAAGCACAGCAAAAATGAGGTCTAGGGAGGCCCAATATGATGGTTTTATAGCTTCGCCAATAACTTTAGCATCTCAGCTATTTTAATCAAAATCAATAATTTGAGCAAAAGTGTGTGAGGGGCAAAGGAGCATCACATGGCTGGGAGGAGAGAGGGATGTGTGTTGAATATGGGCTCTTATATTCCTAATGGAAGCTAACCGGCTTCTTACAACTTTTTAGTTATAAGTTAGTTTAGTTTAGCTATATGTAAGATCAATCACAAGAACTCCTAAGCCCAGAAAACTATACCAAACCGAAGAGCAACAAATGTAGACAGCTGTTTTTCTGGAATGGTTTAAAGGGTGTCATGTCTGGAGCCACAGGTGGATTGATGAGCTCTGGAAGTACCTTGCAGAACTTCCTCCCCATAACAATTAGTGCTTTGAGAACCTCTGCAGGGTAAGAAATGCTACACAAGGAAGCCCAAGCCTTCCTTGTGCTGACCGAACAAAGCTGCCTGGACTTCTCACTTCCAGATACCTCATCCTCCCCACTTCTACCGCCTTGCCACACCCCTCAAAAGGACCTACCTGTAGGAAGCCCCAGGGTGAAATACCTGGTGGGGCCTGGTTGAAACTGGACGATTCGGTTTCTGATGTACTTGGCAGCCCATTCACTGGCCTGAAGGGCATCTTCTAGGATGATGAGTTTCATTGTGTCCTTTATGGGGATTTACAAGGAAAAAGAGACAGCTGAAGCAAATGCTCCCCCTTAGAACAGCCAGCAAGTAAGCCTCAGGGAGTTCTGAGCTGTCCATAGATAATCTACTACAACCCTCTCACCCTGCTGCCAGGAGAGTTTCCACCTCCACCCCCCAAAATGCTCACTCACACATATAACAGGCCCATCCTGGCAGTCCCCATCACCTGCCACCTGGGGTTGGGGACAAAGGACCCTGGAGACAATTGGTTGAAGGTGGGACAGCCTAGAAAACAATGGCTTGCATGTAAATAGCATTCTCATGTCTCATTTCATTTGATCTAAAGACCGGAGAAAATCAGAGCCTTTGAACGAACAAGGCAACATATGCTTACATGGGAGACAGATTGGGGTTGAACTGGAAGACCTTCCCAACAATGACGAGTCATCCTACAATGAAGCAAGCTGCCCCTGTAAGTAATGAGCTCCCAGATGTGAGATATCTAAGCAGAGGCTAGATCAATTAACCAACAAGCATTATTAAGCACTTAGTATGTGCCAGACTCGGTGCTCAGGTGATGGGGGTACAAAGACAAAAATGAAGTAGCCCCTGCCTCAAGGACTTTGTCTATTTATTGATGACAACCCCTTGCCCAGTTTGTTAGGAAAGATATGCATGCATCTGGAACCTTTTACAAGTTCCAAGATTCTGCAACTCTCAAATGTCCCAGTCTAGGAAAAAGGGATCATTTCACATTTCCTGTAGTATGCAGTATACTAACATCCTCCCCTCCTGATTCTAAATCCAGTGCCCCATTCTAACCTCACCTGTAGGTGATTTCCAAAGGGCTGGCAGTACCAAGTTCTGACTTTAGAGCAAGGGATAGTATGGAGTTTTCGTGAAATTTGGAGTGAGAAGAACAAAGCATTTTAAAATCCTGGCTCTGCCCTTTACAGACAGGTAGGAGGTGAGCAACAGATAGTGATGGGCCTGGAGTCAGGAAGACTCATGTTCCTGAATTCAAATCCGGTCTCAGACACTTCCTAGCTGTGTGACCCTGGACAAGTCACTTAATCCTGTCTGCCTCAGTTTCTTCATTTGTAAAACAACCTAGAAAAGGAAATGGCAAACCACTCCAGTATCTGCTGAGAAACCCCCAAATGGGGTCACAGAGAGTTGAACATGACTGAACAACAAAAACTACTCTTTGCAACCTTTGTGACCTCATGTAAAATCTCTCTGGGTGTCAGGTTCCTCACCTGTTATGACCTCTAAGATTCAAACCTAGGTCTTTAACAGCTTAAATCTTTGATTACGTTGAGTCAAGGCCTAAAAGGTTATAACATTTGTGCTTTCTAACTTCACAGGTATGTGTCACATAAAGCAATTCCTGTGAGAACAGGAATTAAATTCAATTAAGTAGGCTAAACAAATGGAAAATCTTATTACAATGGGCAAAGCCTTTTTTCTCTATCTCCCACCATCAGCACAGTGCCTGGCCCATTTGTTGCTGTTCAGTCGTGTCCGACTCTCCATGACCCCAACTTGGGGCTTTCTCAGCAAAGATATTGGAGTGGTTTGCCATTTCCTTCTCCAGCTCATTTTACAGAAGAGGAAACTGAGGCAAACCGGCTTATGTGCCTTGCTTAGGGTCACAGGAGTAGTTAAGCATCTGAGGCTGCATTTGAATTCAGGTCTTCCTGACTCCTGGCCCGACACTACCCACTACCCCACCTAACTGCCCCACCAGGCACACAGTAGATGCTTAATAAGTGCCTGTAGACTTGACTCCGAAAGGGCTTGCTGAAGGCACACAAAAAGGAGAAAAGGGATGCTTCCTTCTCGGGTCCCCATCGCCCCTCCAGTTTCTCTTTCACTCTGGGGCCAGAAAGCAGAAGCCTAGGACCCTGTTCTCCTTGGGTCTCGGTTTCCCGGGACCCCGGGTCAGTTCCCGAGGGCTGAGGGAGGACAGTAGCTCCACCCCCGCCCCAGCCGGCTCCAGCCTGCTGCTTCCCATCGCTCCCGGTGGGAGGCTGCACACCCCCCGCTGGAGCTGCACGTCCCCTCTGAGGCTGCACACCACCCGCGCGGCCCCACAGCGGCAGCAGCGCCCAGGGCTCGCGGCCGCGCGCACGCCCTCGCCTCCCCCGCATCCCATTCGCACCACTTACTCGTCCCTAGCTCCCGGACTCCCGCAACGCCGGAGACTGTGCAAGTGCAACTCGTCCTTTAGGGCTAAAGTCATATGACTGTCAGGTCACGTTGCGATGGATGCTGACTCAGCATCCTTCCCTTCCACCCGACCTTGGTCCCCTGTCCAGGCCACGCCCAAGCTCCCTACACCAGCTGAGGACCGGGCATCCGATTCAGAAAGCCTTGGGGCAGCTGCCTCCCTCGGGATCCTCCGGTCCAGGAGGATTTTTAACCTTTTGCACCCAATCTACCTTTTCTGCATACTCTTTCTAAATGCACTGAATAAAACACTCAAGGTTGCAGAGGAAACCGTTTATATTGGCATAATTGACAACAATTTAAAAAATAAACTCAATGGACCTTGAGTTCAGAACTGTGTTATACGAACCGCACATCGTACACTTGAGAAGCCTGAGAGGAGGTGCCCTACCTTGCTCCAGGTCACACACTCCAAGGCTTTGTGATTTCAAACCCAATCTTTTTATTCTATCAGGCTGCCCCCTCTGTCGTGTACTTCATACAGCACCCCCAGTTTCTTCCCTGCTCCAGTGGTAACGCCCCGCTCCCTCCTTCATGCCCCACCACATGCCTAATAACTTAAATTTCCCTAATGCTTGAATCTACCAGATGCTTTTCTCACAAATTGTGTTGACCTACGGCAAATAACCTAGCCTCTCTGAGACAAAATGTCCTTCGCTGTAAAATAAAGATGGATTAGATAATATCTGAGGACCCTTCCAACTTTAAATGAGGCACCTAGATGGCACAGTAACTGGGTAACTGGTATGGGTAACTGGCACGGGAAGTCAAGATGGCCCGAGTTCCAATCCTACATTAAATATTTCACAGCAATGTGTGAGAAAGGAGAGGGAGCAAACACTTATTAATGTAAGACACAATACCTATTATATGCAGGGCATATTTGGAGGCAGCTAGGTGGCTCAGCTCATAGAACACTGAGCCTGGAGTCAGGAACAAGAGTTCAAATATGGCCTCAGATTCTTAATTGTATTGTGTGACCGTAGGCAAATCACTTAACCTCTGTTTGCCTTAATCCCCTGGAGAAGGAAATGGCAAACCACTCCAGTATCCTTGCCAAGAAAACCCCATGGACAGTATGGTCATCTAGGTCACAAAGAGCTGGACACGAGGGGATAACAAATATGCCAAGAACTGCCTCACTTGATTTATTTGCATCTTTTGTTTTTATATAACCTTCATTTCTCAATGTATCCCTGCTCTCTCCCCTTGCCAGAGGACCACCCCTTGTAACAAAAGATTTAAAGGGGTGGGGTCAGGGGCAGCTAGGTGGTACAATGGATAGAGCACCGGCCCTGGAGACAGGAGGACCTGAGTTCAAATGTGGCCTCAAACACATAACACTCGCTAGCTGTGTGACTCTGGCCAAGTCACTTAAC